GCTTCTAGTTTGTCACAGTGTCATTGGTATCCTTTAGCGAACCCCCTTTTCCTCCACCGCTTCCTGGTGACCGCCCGCCTTGGCAAACCCTTCGTGTTGTCAATTGCTGGCCATACAAACCGCTGACCCCCTTTGGTTTGCCCTTACATGGTGAAATCCCTACAACGGTCAAGGCAGGCATCTCCCTTAGTAGGCGGTTGCAAAATGTTCGCTCCAAGGACGCCCCAGATTAGTCCCCCCCCCAGTTTATGAGAAGCTCGCGTAGAGCAAGGGATCTGATGGATGCCCTATCGCTTGAAGTTGCAGATGTAGCGCCCCTGGCAATTGAGCGTAGCAACCGCAATCTCGCCACGCAAGCTCAACTAACAAGGACAATGTTATTGTCATTGATGATTGCCGGGCTCTGCACCATATGTGGAGGCATTTGGGCTTCGCGGAAAACAATCTGTCATCCTGGAATACTGGCAGCTAAGCATGTCCCTAGACCCAGATGCCGAAATCCTTCAACCCTCGACCCCAAACACTAAACCCAAGACCCTCTAGGTAGCAAATGCCAACTAGGCCTCCAACTGCAAGCTTTAAATCCCAAACCCAAAGCCCGGGCAAATTCGCAGGGAAGCCTCGGGTGTGGTCGGGAAGGGCATTTGGAGCTACAATGATCAGAACATGCAGCACACAATGGCACCAAAGGGAGTAATTGTATCAAAACGGTCTTCAAAAAGGATAAGCATCGAAGATCTACATTTGGGCACTGATAGTCAGTCAAGGGACCCATACCTTTGAGAGGCCCCTTGTAGCTGGCCAGCTTTTGTGCTGCAGCAGCGAGCCTAGGATATGGATCCTGCAGTTCCCAAGCACCGTCTTGTAACACAACTGTAGTCATAGAGGGAACAAGATGGGCTTGTGACGGAACATCGTTGTTGCTTTGCTAGTGTCATGTGGCTTACTGGTCCTAAATGTCGGAGGGGCAGTGGGGGAGCGCCGTAGGTACAAGAATAGGGTCTATACTCGCGGGCTATACAGGGGCCATTTGTGATCTACGCCCGCACTCCCCCTTAAGCACCAGTAGGATAGGATGTGTGTGTGCGTGTGTGTGAAAGTTGAAGCCTCCAGGCTTGAGACAAGACTCATTTTGTAGCTGTAGCTACTACTTGTGTGATGATTGACATCTTACAAAAGTCAAGCATTATCCTTATTAATTTATTGTGCCAATGACGTGTTTATCCTCCCTTTCTTGTGGATAGCATGTCCTGCTGATACGCCATTCCCACAACCAGATCCCATTTGTGTTGCAATGAGCGCTCTGTCAATTTTTACAGCTCTGAAACTGAAATCTGCACATACTGTTGTGATTCCAAGCATTTAGTGAAGGATCAACCTGTTGCTAAAACTAATGGACTAATCCATGCCTGTAATTCAAAGTGCTGGCAAGCCGTGGGTTTGTGGTATAATGGCCCCTGAACATGTCTCAGGCGGACTAGAGGAACCAGGACTCCTAAATCAGCATTTGCAGCTCTAGAAGGCCATGCCTCAAGAAGGAAGGTACCCTGGTCTGCCCCCCCTCCCAAAACATGTAAAGCCCTCAACCTGGCTTTTTGAAAGCTCCTTACATGAAGCTGAAGCCAATGGCGGGCGCTTGCCATGGTGTGCTGCTGGCGCTCCTATGCTGGCTTCTTGCCGGCTGTTGGGCAAGTTTCTGTGTATGACGATCAAGATCATGAGCATCAATATTTTATTGTTGGCATCATTCCTTATATTCTCAGCAGTAGTGCTACTACTAGTACGACATGTTGTTTTTCCCTTAAAAGTGTTCTGACATCCAGGATACCGCATGCCATCGCCAGCCCTGGCGAAGACCTGCATCTGCTTCAACGCCAGGTGCCGTGCATCATGACCACCATGTGGGGGTTTCCTAAAATTACTGGTGCCATTTTGGGGGTCCCCATAATAAGGGCTATAGTTTATTGGGGTTTATATTGGGGTCCCCTAATTTTGGGAAACTATTATGTCATACTTTACTTACCTTTGGTTAACTAGCAGGGAATGAAGGAATGGAAAAGAAACTGGAAACGACTATAATGCGCTATATAGGGACCAGTCTAAGGATCCGTTCCTTCATTCCTCGCCAACCAAAGGTAAGTTTACTGCTTTGACTAATTATAAGAGCTGCTGTTACTGTCGTCGCTGTTACGTGCTCTGACTAGTAGGTGTTGTTACTGTACATTGTTCTATTCAGTTGTTGCTTCGTACGTTTGTCTAAGAAAATTCCTCAGCCGCAGCCCCGCCGCCCCCTCCACCCCCAGCACCCCCTGCAGGATTGCCTCAGGCTCCAAGAGTTTCAGGATATGGCAGCTTAAGTCAAGGGGTGCGTTTTTCCTTGGTGGGTTTAGGGTTGACCTTGGCGAGGGAAATTTGGGACTCGTGCCTAAATTCGGGTTCAAGGTTTGGTTAGGCCTT